TAAGCAAATGGAAAGCTGACACAATTGCTGCTTTTTGTGTCTTTTCTCCCCCAAAAAGTGGAAAGCGAATGTGGTCACTGATGTTTTAAGCTGGAAGATGGACCACTTGGTGGTGTTTGCAGCTATGGTCTGAGTAGAAGTAAGCTTGCTTGGATGCATCTACTCAGATACCCATATTAACCTTATCACATAGAAGCTTAGTGCATTAAATCTAGGAGGGACACACCAAAATGGGTTTGGCAATGGAAAGACACGTTTATGTTACCTTACACTGTGGGGCTTCACAAGAAGCGACCCTAGCTCGCATAGCTTGGAACTACTATTAGCCTCACATAGAGGAAGTAGAGCACTATGTTGAAACCTGTCATGTGTGCTGGCAAGACCAGTCCGATCAACGAAGGCTACTCAGATTGCCAGAGCCCCTCCCAATCCCTTGAGGGTCCACAGGTTGGCCTCTACATGGGACTTCATTAATGGGCTACCCAAGGTCAATAGTATGTGCCAGATCATGGCAGTAGTTGACTGGTTCTCTTGTATGGCACATGGACTAGTGGCATCGGTCCTCACCCATGTTGAGAAGATATCGTGTATAATGGAGGACATCGTGAGTGACCAAGGTGTGCGGCTCATAAGCGGTTTTGAGGGCACTTGTTCGAACTGATGGGCACGGAGCTAAACTACTCTACTAGCAACCATCCTCAGACCATAGTTAGCAAGTCTCTGTTTAAAACACGATTCTTTAAAAAATATCCGATTTTTTTGAAATCCGTTTACTCTGATTTTTTCAAAAGATCTTAAAAAAATCGTGTTTTTTTTATGGAACCGATATAAACACATATTTTATCTTTTCTCAAAAAACTTCTCAATTTACAGATAAGCACATTAACAGTGGGATTAAATTAAGAATCTCGACTTAGAGAAAAGTTCCATAAAAACTTTCACTCATAAAATCCCTTTAAAGAAGTGTATAAAAAAATATCAGCAATATATTCTCCCAAAAAGAAGATATCAGCACAATTATATATATCAAATAATAGGCAGAACTAGAAGAGTAACCAAATGAAAAACATATATATATTTTAATACCCAAAGTGTCCGTATAAAGAGAAAGAAGAGATTCAATGATACTAAAGATTTAGGTTGTCAGTGTGACATTTGAATTTGCTTAAGCATTTTGTTGCTTTTTTTATGCACAGAGAAGTTTCATTAATTGTATATTTTTATTATTTTATTTTATTTTATTGGTGTAAATGACAGCATTTTGGATCTAATTTACATATTTGGGCCTTTGTGTTTTGTTTTAGTTTAACTGCAATCCTATACCTTGGTCTATTATTTACTAATGTGGTTCTTGTGTTGAGTATTGTTGTTGTTGTTTCATTTTATGCTCCTGATAAATCTGTGATATGTTTCATGTTGGGACAACAAAATAAGCATTGTTGTTGGATTTATTGAAAGTTTAGACAATAAATTGTCAAGTATTACTCTAACTACACTAGGCAAGGCCATGACATTGTTGTTCAATGGCTTTAATGTATCTATGTAATAACTGCAAATCATAATCCTCTATTAGTCATCTTTTATGTATCTGATTTTTTCACTCCCTTTTTTTAGATCTATGCCTTAGACAAAGGGGCAAATTGGGAGGGTGGACATGATATTAGGAGTACCTTGAACGCTATGTTTCAGCCAACTAGCACAGTTAGCAGCTAGATTTAGCCCAAATTTGTTGCGATCTTCATTGGAACTCTTCAAAGTGGAAAAATACCTTAGAGTTAGTCGTCAGTCAACAGCCCTTGGCACCACATGGTGAGCTCTTGTAGTAGGAGCACGTCTTGTGGCCGACCATCCAGAAGTTTGCTAGAACATGAGAGGCGAAGTTCGAGGAAGAGCATGACTGCCTTAACTAGGCAGTAAGGCGGGTGAAAAAGTACGTGCATTTAGGCAGGCAAGCAGCACCTTGAACTTAAGGTGGGGACTAGGTGATGCTAAAAGTCGGTCCCCAAATATGGAAGAAGATCAACCCAAGCAGCACATTGGCTTGACCTAGAGGCATGATGGTCGATTTGAGGTGATAAGGTGGATAGGCAAGCTGGCTTACTGCTTGGCCCTCCTTGACTGTATTAGGGTTCACCCATAGTGATTCATGTGAACTTCTTAGAGCCTTGTCATCATGATGCAGATAAGACATTTAGGTATCACTCCTAGTGGTCCAGTCTTTAGGCCGACAAACCTCTATGAGGAGGTACTCAAGTCTTGGACCAATTGACCCAATTGTGGAAGGAAAGGCTAGTGCAATGCCTGGTGTGTAAGGCTCTCAATCTTGACAACCACGCTTGCGTACAGGTGGGCTAGTGGGCTAGATGGTGCATCAATTGAGCTTGAGCTTGGCGCTTGATTGTGACGGTCAAGTTTGAAAGTTAAATAAGATGGTACTTAGAGCATGACTAGGCTAAGAGGGTGGGCTTTGTAATGGCTGCATGCCATGTGAGTGGGTGTAATGACGCCCACGCCCTGGAGAGGCTATGCATGAGAAAGGGTAGCTGTTAGGTGGCCAATGAATTCGAAGTTCACACCATGTAATTTTTAAGGCAGTGGTACTTAGACACCTCATTTTTCCCTGTTTGTCAAATGTTTGACATGTGTACCTTTGGTAGACACTCCGACACCTTGATCATACATGTCAGGTTATTTGACATGTTTATAGTCTGAGCCAATGCTTGCATGAGAAGTGTCAACTTCAAAAAGACACACCATGTCCCTTTGATTGAATATTGAAAAATATGCACCAATCAATTTTATGCTCCGCTTAAACTCGACCATAAATCCTGTTGTCAGAGTGAAGTTCAATTTACCAAAGGTTTTTTGTAACTTTGATAATATAGTAATGAAGATTTATATGTATATATATTCTATGGTACAACAGGAAGCAATAATAAATGGTACTTACAAATTTGTGCCCCACTCAAATTCAAAGCCCAGACCTCTTGTGAGAGACAGAAATTCAGTCTATCAAGGAGACATTGCAGTGCTGATGGTTTATAAAATGAATGAAGCAATACATGTCACATGTTGGTTTTGAACCTGCAACCTTCGTCTCTTTTTAAAAGTGAAGAACACAACCATCTGGACCATGTGACCATGTGACATTCATGTTTTAAACATTAGAAATTTAAAGTAAAAAAGTTTTAGGGGTAATTGTTGTATGAACATGTGTAAAAGTACTGTCCTTTTAGCCTTCCGTACTAGACACTCCCATTACATTCTGGACACCAACGTTTGTGCTGATGTCATTGTAGCACTGGTGTCATGGGGCTAAATTTTCACTAGACTAACCACATGCCTTGGCTCTTAAGTCTGGTATCTTAGGGGTTAAGTTCAGCCTACTTGCATGCACCAATACCACACATATAGGGACTGCGCAGGGTAAAAGGGCTGTGGCGCACCTTTATTGCTTTATAAAATTGCATGTGTACAATACTAGATGCCCCTTAAGGGTCTGAATTTATAGAGTGTTACATGGGCACTAACATACTTGTTGGTGTGCTTTGTACGTCGAGTGTTTAGTACGGGAGGCTGAAAAGGTAGTACTTTTCGAGACATTGGTACAATACCCCATAATTGTCTTGCTTGTGTATTTGAATTTCAGATGTTTAAAACGTTAAGCCCACATGCTCTAGATGGTAGGGCATGCTTCAATTGCACTAAGAGATAAAAAAATTCTGGGGTTCAAAACCAATTCACTTGCACTAAGAGAGAAAGATTGTGGGGTTCAAAACCAATGGGTGACATACTCTGAGGTGCCATATATTATTGTTTCACGGAGTCTTGTATCAATTACATTATTGATATTTGTTTATAACCATCAATGATACTTGTCTGATAGAGTGGACTTCACTCTAATAAGAGGTCTTGGATACGAGTTTTTGTAGGCACAAAATTTGTTGGGTGCCATTTATTATTATTACATGTTGTCTCGTAGAAGTATAAATATATACAAATCTTTGTTAATCTATCATCGAGGTTACAAGGTCCCCATGGCAGATTGAATCTCACTTTAACAAGAGGTCTCGGGTTTGAGTTTGAGCAGGGTGCGAAATTGGTTGGCACACATTTTTTAATATTCAGACACTGCATGTCTTCTAGACTTTTTATGAAAATGTTGACTCGTACTTTAGAAAGTCAAGTAACTTGACACGTATGGTCCGGGTGTCGGAGGAGTGTCTACCAGTGTCGACACCTATCTTTTGGTATGTTTTGACGCACGGCACAATGGAGAAAATTGTTTCTACATACACTGCGTGACACCCACGATTGGAGACATGTTTCTAGCCTTCTAGTGCTGGCTTGGGGGGGGACTGGGTAAAAGGGACTTGGTTATCTGAATATGTGTCTCGGTCAAGTCCTTCTAAGGTTGTAGGATGGGAAAGGGGATGGTGTAATCGTGTATTTGAGTTGGATAAGGAAATGGAGGCTTGGTCTGAATGGGTTAGGTTGGGTTGGGGGGGAGGAGGTAGGGGAAGGAGGGGAGGAGAAGATTTCAGGCTTGAGGAACTTCGGAAGGAATGGGGGATGAGTACGGAATTCTGGGGCGGGAGGCGTTTCAGGCTTTCAGAGAGAATTTGGCTTTGGTAGTGGTAAGGGACAGGGTATAATATGTGCTGTTGTGGTGGAAAAGGATAAAGTATTGGCCATTTTTTGTGGGGGACAATGGGGTGTTGGTGTTCGATGTGATGCCCATGGGTGGGACAATAGACGTGGTGGATGTATTCATGCTGTTCTCCTCTCATTTCATCTTCTTCATAGTTCCTCATTGTTTGTAGTTTGTACCAATGAAAGCTCCTTTTTTCAATCTTCTGAAATTTCACAGTTCTATTTCCGATTCTAAAAATTATATCATAATTAATTATTTGATTCTTTTTTTAGGCAGTTTACATTTCCAACCTTTTGTAGACATAGACTAATGAGCTGCCTGCTTGTTGCTTAATGAATCTCTCCAGAGGAAAGAAATGCTACGAGCCTCCGAAGTTTATGACAATACAAAATGCCATTGAACAGCTTTTGGAGGTTGAACAAATGCGAGGAGAATCTGGTAGTGTAAACTCGCATCATGCTTTATTCAATGAATCAATGGATTTCTTTTCCATATTAGCCTTTTCTTATATTGAGAAGTATACTATAATTGAATGCTTTATGCTACTCTCAACAAAAAAAGAAAAGAATGCTTTATACGAGAACTGCCGTAAATTGGATCATGACCATCCCACTGAAATGGAAGGTGATGGGGAGAGAGTGGGGCCTACCATTGGCCAATATCCTGTTCTAATGGTCCCAACAATTGGGGTAGTGTCCTGTTATGATGATCCCATTCTCTTCATCATGTTAATTTCAATGGAAGGTGATGACCGACTGGACTATAGTCTTTCCAATATCGATTGGCATATAGTATACTTCCCTTTAATATAGCGTAACTAGCAGTACATGTGTCCTAATCTGATGCAGAAGAGTGAAGTCCTTGTCAGGTTCATGCACATCTCTTCATTTATGCATCCTAGTTGGGGAAAATATACCATACATCGGCATGGTGTATGCCTGTATGGTACACCTCGGGATTGTCCAATAGCCTTCAAGATGATGACTTTGGGGTTTAACCTTGGTTCCTGTTGATGGAGATTCACCTGGATATGGTTCATCTCTGCCATCTGCCAATCAGGACAGACAGAGGATGTCTTTTGGTGTACCATATGCCATGCTGGTCTATAGTATATTTTTGCTTAAAGAAAGTTTTGATTTAATCCATATAGTTATGATGGATCAGTTGTGTTTCACTTTAAAAAAAAGGAAAGGAAAAAGGAAAATAATGCTTGCAATTGATTGAAGAAGAAAGGGGGTTTGTTGAATTAAGGTGAATTCACTGGGGGTACTAGGATTGTCAAATACAGGAACCTGTGATATGCCAAATATTGGGAGTTAATGTTAAAGGATGAGAAATATGGAATTGGTGATCCAAGGATTACCTGTCTAGTGCACATGCATTTGTATAACATGTTGATTTCTATGATTATGTGGGTTTCTCTGGAGTTCTTTCAGATAACCCTCTGTTCCCTTCTGAACTCTAATTATAATAAGAGGATAATATGTGAATGCAGATTTTTATGCATTTTAGTGATGTGGATAGATTTCGGTTATGTCGTTGTTGCAGATCATGTAAAGAATGTAATGATTCATTAGAGTATATGTAATAAACTTATAACATGTTTTTCTATATGGATTTTTTTAGGCATCATTTTGTGGGTAGTTTTTTGTGCTTTGAGCTGAAGCACTTGAGAGGATGATGAATCTCTCTCAATATTTTATTGAGTGGATTTTATACTTTTCATGTTTTCGTAGCTTTTTATTCTTAAAGCATGTTTTGGGTAGTCCTTTTTTTTTTTTTAGAACTGTAGAACTTTAATGAAGATAATGATGCTCTCTCTCTCTCTCT